TAGTAGTAGTAGTAGTAGTAGTAGTAGTAGTAGTAGTAGTAGTAGTAATAGTAGTAGTAGTAGTTCTCTGCTCAAAAAATGTTTTCGCACCCACTAAAAAGCTTGCAAACACATTTTGATGTATTTGTATTAATTTTGCGGACACTTATATCCCCTCCCACTTTACTAATTGGGATTCGACATGACCAAATTTCATGAAACCCATAATTTGGCATTGGCTCAAATCGCAAAGTTTAAAGCTTCAAGCTTGTGTTAACCTTGGGGTCAAAGGCCTGAAGACTGATGCAAAAACTGAAAGCTCCGTCATCTTGGGATTTCAACAAGTTCTTTTCGAGTGTCGAAGAGTTTTGCTTCGGTCCAACCTCTTTTCTTGGCACTGTAGTCGAAGAGGTCATCAAGGCAAAAGTTGTTCACAAATCACAGAGTTTCCTGCTGTTTGTCAAGTTCACTGTGACTTGTGTGCACAACTGATGGTCTTGTGCGTTTAGCGAAGATCACTTCCAGGAATGGAAACTTGGTGCTCACAGAGTTTGGTATTTGATATTCAACAAGACAGTCCCGGCCGATCTTGTGGGCCCAGCTGTTGCAGGGTTGAAGCATTGAGTTTTGGCAGGGCAAGCAGCGTGGCGCGTAGCGGCGTAGCCTTTCTGTCAGGCATTTGGTGGAACAAGATGAGGAATTGACTGGGCGTATCACACTGGCCTCAACCATTGAAAGCCTGAAGGAGCCTTGGTATGGACTTTTCAGCCGACTCGATCATGGCGTGAAATTCATCGACAGGTCCATTGCGACAGATCTGTATACAGGTCTCGACCACCCCTTTCAGACTATACATCACTGTACTAATTACTTTGAGATGTTCACCAAATAAAGCAATTTATGTGTCTTAATTCTTGTATACACACAATCTTTGGAACTCGGCACTAGTTTGAGGCCAGTTCCAGTTCCACAGACAGACTGCGTGCAATTGCGCTTTGTAGCAAACAAAACACACCCATTCCCAGACACTCCATGTATATGGCATATTTGCATACATTGGGGTGCTTTCAGGGGCCAATATGTATATTCCATACATTGAGTGTCTGGGATTTGGCGGACTTCTCCGGTCGCTGGATCGCGGGTCGGAGAAGGCCAAGAGAGAAGCCGGTGTGTTCCACCATCGAAGACGGCAGAACGGGCTGGATCAAGGAATGATCTCTCCATCAAATTCCGAATCAAGAGGTTGCCAGATAATTAGAGAACATAGGTGAAAAGGTGAGTGATACCTCATAAATAGCTGCTTTTCGAGTCGTTTTGGGGATCACATCAGAGATTTGGATTCACGGCCAGTCGACGGCCACTTGAGCCACGGATGTCAGGAACAGTTAAGAGGCCTGAAGATCTCTGACGTGCATGGCTTCTTGCTGGGAGCAGCTACGCACTGGCCGGACGAGCAGACTCGTGGTGTTTTGTGTCGCGTGAAAACGACATGCAAGGAAGCAAAGTCAGTTGGAGTTGGGCCGTATCCCGATATTGGTGTTCGTTCTTCTCGCATCTCCCCCTCCGTTTTTGTGCAAAGAATGTGGTGGTTGATTGATTTCTGTCGGGAGTGGGCTCTTGGATGACCACTTTCGAAGAGGTATAGTGCTGCTGTGGTGCGTCAGAGCACTGGCGTGCGTATCTATTTCTTCGACTCCTACAACGTGCCTTGTGCAGAACATCTTCATACTTCTCAACGTTGGTAGTGCAAACTGTTTGAAGATGTTTGAAGAATTACTATTTCCTGAATATGAAGAGATGAAACGAGGTTCTCAAGTGCATTACGCATTTCACGGCGTTTATTACTGCCGCGGTGGGTCAATCTTCCTCTTGCAAGTGCGTGCACGTGGGAATGTGCTTCTCTACCAAACGTTTACAAGTGGAGGGGCATTTGAAATGTGTGGGTGGTGTAGATTGGCCAGAAGCATTTGTATTAAGGAGGCGCTGGAAACAGGCAACTGCACAAGAACTCAAGATGAGAAGACTATTGCTGCCATCCTGGTATCCATCTTGTCAAACTCAAGCCGCTGTTTTCCTCCTGCAGATTGAAAGACAAACACATTGTAGATCATTTTAGAAATTGTGTTTGCTTCATATGTTGCACTGGAATATATGAACATCCAAACATTGAACCGAAGATGGCACATAACCAGAAGTACGACTACCCAATCTTCAGGTGCCAAGACTGGCGAACATACTGAACATGAAGAACCAACAGGTGATCCCCGAATAGATAATTAGTGGCACGGTTCCCTACATTTTCTGTGTGGGGATCTACTTTTCGATCTATTTGGGGGGGTCTATATATATAATATAGCCTGTTAATGCTGTTGAAGCAGAAGAAAAGTTCCCTGCGGAGGTTCCAGTGGTCAGTTTGCGCTCCAACGAAGACATCGAAGGCCTTGTGGAGCAGCGGTTTCCTGGAGTAAGTTAGAGCGGAAGTCTCAGAACTACTCTAGATTCGTTTAGAGATGTTTAAGGGTAGGGACCCATGGCAACGTTTAGTATTACACATTCCAAGGTTTGTAAAGGGGTTGAAGTTCCGCTGTTTGACCTTAGCCCCAAATTTGCATTTCATAAACCACTTGCGTGTATACTTGTATGTATATAGTTGTTTGTGGGTTCAGGTACTTGCTCTTTTGTAAGATCATGAGTCACGAGCTCAAACAAACACAATGAACACCAGAGAAACACACAGTTCCTCTTCCTAAAGATGCTCTTAGATGGAACAGATTCATACCAACAAAGTGCAGCCCCCAAAAAGGTTGGCATCTCAATTCTGATCTCTTCTAACTCTTCAGTCTACTCGTTCGCTGCATCCTCCTCTTTTCCGTGACTCCTGACCCGGACCTTCCGGACCGTCCTGAGGCTTCATCAAAGCCGTAGCCGTACCATGGAGTCACTACGCAAGGACCCGCCACTGGGCGCCCAAAGAAAGTGGTCCATGGACCCGGTTTGGGAGAACGTCCGGGTGTGTTTTTGGAGCCGAAGACGGGTGGAGCGGTCGGCGGTTTGGCCGTTTGGCCCGAACCCCAGGCGGATCATCCGAGATAGATGCGGAGAGAGAGAGAGAGAGAGAAACAGATGACAAGCATGGTGATTGAGTAGATCAGTAGATCCAAGGAAAACTGAGGTTCCTCTCCGTCGAAAACGACGTTTTCTTAGATTTCACCCGGGCACTGTGGGTAGAGGATCACTTGGTTTCTAAGGCACTGGGCCCACCGCCCCCAAAACCATCTGGAAGAGGCCGTCGATGGAGGAGTCGAGGAGAAACAGCCAGCATGGCTTTCTTGCGCGACCGGGGAGAAACCGTGGCGACGGATCTGGGTCGACATTGGGACGGGCTGAGACAGGCTGGACATACCTGGTGTTGCTTCTAAGAGGATTTCTTGCTACAATATATATATATATATATGGGTGATAGACCTGGTTTTGCTTAAGGATGACAGATGGTATCATATGGTTACTGGTTACTGATGAGATATGCCAACCTCAACCGGTTCATACGTTTCACTACTCCCATCTCATTAGCATCTAGTATATGCTGGGTGATAGACCTGGTGTTTAAGATGTTTTAAGGATATCTAGAGGACATAATGGTGGAAGTCCCGGACTTCCCAATACCTGGTGAAGAGCGTGGAACTCTGGTTCCGCAAATCCGCTTGCATTTCCGATGTGGGTCGGATGACGTTGGCACCTCACGAAGTAAGGACCTGGTGGCGTGGATGACTGTTGGGTGAATAGTGTGGGGTGGGGTATAGCAATGGCTTCCAACTGCCGGTGAACATCTGAGCATGTGCCAGTTCTTGCCGCGCCTAGCCAGTTCTTGCTGGGGCGGTTTGATGTGTGAAAGCACCCTGCGACGTGGAGGGGGGTTGTTTCTTTGGAGATCACCACCTTCCAGTGAATTTTGCTGATGTTCATGTGCCAGTCGGATGAGCCAAGTATAGAACCGATAACATAGTTTAAGTTTATTTCATAGCTCTGGCCCAGGCTCTGGCACATGATTTGTGTGGACGGTGCAGAGACAAGTCGTTTGGGATCGTTTGGGTCAGAACTTGTGACGCACCGACCGACTCTGGTGGTCTGACCGTGACTCGTTCTCCCCCCCCATTCTTCCGGACGGATCGAACGTCAGGAGTGGTGGAAGGGTGTCCGGAAAGCCTCCATGTTCTGGCGTCACAAGCCCTTAGAGGCGGGTTCGAACATCGGTCGAGGATCGTTTTTTTGACGTCTGACAGGGCAACAGTCGATCTGACAGGTGAAACGTGAGCTGCAGCGCATGGACCTGCTACTGGTACGGGATTTCCTCCACTTGTTACTGGCTGAGTACAGCATCTTGGAAGATTTTGTGCCCTTGGGTTCCAACCACATCAGAAATATGTGGTTCCTCAGACAGGTTGGGGTGGGTGCCAGGTGTTGTTTGTCCCTATACCTTCCTTTTCGGACGTGGGGGGCGCCCCTTTAGTGGCGCCTCGGCGAGCTTAGGTCGCTTTTGGATCGCCTTTGGAGCGTCTCCCACCCATGCAGTGGGGGATTCTGCAGGAACACCGAGATCAAACATCCATGATAAACACCGCCCTCGTCGACTGTTCCGTGGGTATCGTTTTGGCAGAGATGTGGTATCATTCCCAGACACGACTAATGGGACTGCCGTAAATGCCGATCAGTTGGGGTGGTTTTGGGGGTCAATGGGGCGGCATATAAGGCAGTCCCATGGATCGTCGTGTCTGGGATTGAGGGATTTTCTAACGAAGGAGCCGTTCGTCCTGGGATTCACGATGTGCTTTGCCTGGATCCTGGGTGAAGAACATGGTGTGGTCGTCGTCTCGATGGGTCAAGAGGACAGAGATCGATCCCTCCGGTCGCCCCAGACGTGGATGGAAAGCCGCCAGACGTGGTCTCCGAAAGCCCGGCTACACTTGGAATCTCAAGTGTTCCACGAAATCCCAGCAAATGGATGCAAATGGAGCGAAAATCCTTGGGAGATCTGGAACCACTGGCGGGCAACCTGAAAGACAGCTGCACATCAACACATCCTGCTCAGATCCCGAGTGAACCCGTCCCTTGAAGCCAAGGTCATGATCCTGGACCTTGACGACTGATCTCCTGTTTTCTGCAGCCGGATCTCCCTCAGATGCACACTCACTTCAACCATGAAGAGAAACATATGAAAGCTGAGTTGTTCTTGGGGGCGACGGTCCCCACAGCGCACGGTCCTAGCACGTCCCAACAGCTTGGAAGGGCTTCCCACCTGCGATGGGAACGGTCCCAGCACGACGGATGAAAGCCGTTGGAAGCCGTGCTCCGACCCCTTCACCTCCATTTCTTTGAACATGAAGAAGAACGGGCGAACCTGGTGATGAGTCCGAGCTTGAATCATCCAGGACCCTGGTGGACTTGGAGTTTGAACTCCATGAAACGGTCGCATGGGCGCACATGGCGCGCCCGTACCCGGGACTACTGGACGACGTAAACGGTGAACCAGGTCAACGGCGAGCGGGATGAAATGGGAGACACACATATCACATATCAAGATTAGGATCAGTTCATGCTAAGTTCATGCAATCTCAATCCAGGATTTCATGAACAAATATATGGCCTTATGTCGACAGAACTGCGTACTATGTACCGTTAGCGCACATACACCACATTGGTGCCTTGGTAAGCACTGGTTGTCCGTATCGTCGTTTGTGTTTGGTACATGAAGCTGCTCCGGTCATGAATGTGTGGAACACATGGGGTTTTCCATTGTTCAGTTCGGGGTAGCTGGGCCAAGAAATGCGGTTTCTGCGCTTGGAGCCTTTGGCAAGCAAGGGAATGCCACAAAAACGCTGTTTGTGGGGTCGATGGAGTTTCCTACCCCAAAAACCGGTCAAGTGAAGGAAGCAGCATCTGATATCAGCGTCACTTGTGGGATATTGAATACCTGAACAATCACTTTGTTCCGATCGAGCCCCAACAACACAACACCCTGAGGCCCCGAGGCTGCCCCGCCCGGAAAGTTCAATCTTCAATGTGTTTGTTGCACTTTTCCTTGGTGGGGGATTGTCACTCAACACCAGCATGCCAAAGGAGACCCAGCCGACGGCGGAACATCCGCGCTGCGCCACCTGTACAGTTGGCAGCGGACATCCAAAAAGTGCTTTTGCGCAAGAATCGATGAGTTTTGACACGTTTATTTGGTGCTAGATGAATGAAACCTGGAAACCCCAAAATACAGACATTCATGATTCCACAAGCAACCACTTGCTAATGTACAGGATCTCAATTGCCATATTGGAACAACATTGGTTTCTGGTTGTTTGGGGTTTCAGGCAGATCCAATCACATCAACTGGCTCGAAGCCCCAGAGGTAGGATATCAAGAGATCTAAACAAGCCTGGTCGCACCACTGAAAAAGAACGTGCGAGCATGATCTGAAGATTCCATTCGCCTTTGAGACCACGATCTGCAACTTGTGCAATTGTACTGTGCCTTTCTGAGTTGCCGAACGTGTGAGTAGCTCCTGAACAATTAAGGAGTTTTGGTGGTCACACGTCTTCATTTCATGGGGTGGGTGCATCGGTCACTGGTCGGATCGACAGAAGTGGACCGCATGATCCACGAGGGAATCAGTGCACATGTCCATGTGCCAAAACCATCGAAGGAAGGCTTATTGGGAGTATATTGGAGCGAACTTGAAAAAAAGGGACGACCTGACAACCATGACCATTTTGCTGTGCACGGCATTCCGCACACAGAACTGGTGCAGTGGTCCGTAAAAAAGAATAGGGTGGATTTGCCCTAAAAAGGTTATGCAATTTGCACAGACTGGTAGGAGTTCTCAATCAGATTTGCTTGCTGCGAGTCCTGCACTCCAAAAAACCCATTCCCCACTCCAAGTCCGTGTCCCGTCCGCGGCGGCTGGGCTGTGGGAGGTGAATTACTACTCGGTGCCCAACTCGCAGTATCCACCTCTCCTCAAGGCGATGGCCCGAAGCGTCCGGGATGACAGGACCTGTGGACTGGCATGTTTACATTCCCTAGGGCTTCTGGCCCATCTCCTTCGGAGGTGGTCTTCGACCCCGCTGGCACCCACCCCAACCATCGAACCGAAACGGAGGTGGGCCAGGAGCCCTGGGGATTGTCGACTCCCAGGTCAATCAAGCACCCCTGGCCTGATCGGACCCTGCCAGTCCCATGGAGTAAACCCGGCGCACGTTGGACGAAGCCTGCGACCCGGTGCGCATGGATGGGGACCCCGAAGAAGCGCGGCGTATTGGGTGCGAAAAAGCAGCTGAAGAAGCGCATCACCATGGGGGTTGTGACTTCAGCCCAGGGATCCACATACCTTCTCAAAAGGTACTTGGGCCCTCCTGGCGCCTACATAAATAGTCTCCAATCATTTTCTGAAGGGGGGTACTTGGATCCCTAGGGCTTCACATCATCGAAACAAACGTTTCTGGAGGGTGAAGGGTCGTCTAGTGCAGCCTGTCCTAATAGAGTGGACCCGAACAACACCCGTCCCTGTGGCGACCCGTCCGTGACAGCAATCCCATTCGGACCTTCTCTGGGGCATCCGGGCGAGGGTATTCCCCGCCCGATCGATCCACCATCTTCCAAACACAACAGCGTATCCGAAAGAATTCAACAGTGATCCACCTCACTGGATCTCGTATCCTACTAGGAGCAAGGACGCTACTAGTAGCTCCTGGCCTTACTATAGTAACCGGAAGCTACTAGCAACAAAGGCCATCGCTGCTACCAGTAGCTCCTGGCCTTACTAGTAACCGGAAGCTACTAGTAACAAAGGCCATCGCTGCTACCAGTAGCTCCTGGCCTTACTAGTAACCGGAAGCTACTCGCAACAAAGGCCATCGCTGCTACTAGTAGCTCCTGGCCTTACTAGGAACTGGAAGCTACTAGCAACAAAGGCCATCGCTGCTACCAGTAGCTCCTGGCCTTACTAGTAACCGGAAGCTACTCGTAACAAAGGCCATCGCTGCTACTAGTAGCTCCTGGCCTTACTAGGAACCGGAAGCTACT